TTTCAACATCCACGAAAAAATCATATAGCAATGATTTATAGTACCTAGTCTAGCAAAATCACGGGCAGAGCCAGTGATTTATAATTACCAAAATTAGCAATTTTAGGGCAACTTAATTACTTACCCATTATAAAAACTTTATATTTTAGCAAATTCCAACATATCAAGATTGGCATCTAAAACCATCCATCAAACCATCAAAATTTCACAATCGAGATCATCAAACACATACACAACATAATTCCAAAACCATAGATCTATAAACCAATTCCAGCCGCAACACAATCCTTTTTTTTTGTTTTAGTTTAACATCCCTAGTCATACCACGCTGAGTTTAGAAACCTTACCTAGATTTGTCAAATTCAAAACCTGTGTCAAAACAAGAGTAGAGGTCAGAATCGATTAAAGGAGTAATAAATCAAAAGTAAAAATCACAAAAACCAAAAACCCACCTGTCGCCGTCGTCACACCACCGCCGACGAAGACCCTAGCCGCCACCCGTTTCCCCTCTCGTCCTCTACCCCTCACACAAATCCAAACACAGAATAAAAAAAATTAGAACCTTGTTTTTAAATAAAATCAAAGAAAACCCAAAATAAAATAACAAAAATGAGAACCCACCTTAAACGGCAAAATTCGCCGTCCTGTCCCCGCTACCGGATTCGCCGCTAGTGAGGTCTAAAGCATGCGCCGTCGTATCCCTCTCCTCTCATCAATAACCAAAACACAAAAAAAAAACCACCAAAAACGAACACATATACAGAAAAAAAACCTTACCAGAGGGTAAGATTCACCCCTCGTCGCCGTCGTTTTGGCGAGGAAGAAGTATATCGAGAAGCCTCCACGATTTTGGGGCCGATTTCTGGAAATACAAAAAAAAAGGATTAGAAACTCGAAATCCCTAAAATCAGACCGAAAAATAGTAGAGAATCGTGTATGCAAAACAAAAAAATAAACCCACCTTCGATTTTAGCCTCGTCGCAGGCGTCGTCGGCGTATGCTTCCAGTCGCCGTCGGCGACACCCTTCGACATCTTCTCTCTCGATTTAGAAAGTCGGCGAGGGGAGGTTAGGGTTCTAGGCGGCTATGGTTTCGTTTTGTGGAAGGGAAGAAGAGAGGGAGAGAGGTGAGGCAGAGGGCGGCGCTAGTTTTGCTTAGGGTTTTCTTCGGTCTCTGGTGGAAGAGAGACGAGAGAGATGGAGAAGGAGAGAGGATCGGGAGAGAGAGGAAGAGGGCGGCGGCCGAATAAGAAGAGATTAGGGTTCGTTTTTCGTTTATATATCTTTCTAAATGACTAAACTACCCCTAGGGTATTGCTAAAATTACATGCCTTGCCACCGCGTTCTTAAGAAATTACCAAAATACCCTTCCCCCTTCGTTGCACCAAAACGAGAATCGCGTTCTTAAGAAATTACCAAAATACCCTTCCCCCTTCGTTGCACCACAACTAATACGATTTAAATTCTTTAGTGGTCCAGTAAGGCCCTAAAAATACCTAAAATACCTAATAATAAACTAACACGTCAATGGACGTTTAGCTAAATTATACCCAATGAAATAACAATATAGTAATGGTCCATTGGGATTTTAAAAATACATAATTACTAAAATACACCCAACTCATACAAAAACTTATCAACTTAAGTAGCACCGATTTAGGGCGTTGTGGGGGTGTTGCTTAACTTCCCCATACGTAACCGTACTCCCGAACCCATATCTCTTAATCGCAGACCATGTCCCGGTTCTGACCCTAAGGTTAGAACCGACCTAAGAGTGTTCGATCCACTCCAAGTAAGATCGATGGCGACTCCCAAAAAGCAAACATGACGACCCGACGACCCCCGGAGGGACGGTTGCGATAGCACTGAAATACACGACCGGGTATATGAGAAGGAGGTGACCGGGTAAAAGGAATTTTGGAGGCCAAAGAAACAGAAGGAGTCCCGGATAGGAGGCTTAAATAGCCGATAGGGTATTCTAAACCTCGATCGGGTATTTACCCCTTTCCCGTGCGCATCGTTTTAAAATACACGACCGGTCACCTGAAATACCCGACCAGGTATTATGGTCGGGTATCGCGATATGCCTTTTTATGGAAAGAAAGCCTCTTTTGAAGTGGATCCGATTTTTAGAGAAAAAAGGTAGAAACCTAGATAGAGTGACGGACAGAACTTCCAAGCATCCTAAATCGATCTTCAACATCATCGGAGCTCGGTTGAAGATTGGAGAAGTGATGATTGATTACCAGAAGCTGCTTATCATCCTTCACAGAATGATTTCCGCATCTGAAGTTGATTTCTCTTCTCTTTCTATGGAGTAAACTTTCTCACTCACATGGGTATGAAGAACCCTAGATTTGTATGTTAGGTTTGGTTGTATGAACCCAAGTACATGTTCTTTGATATCGATTATATTCAATTGAGGCATGGTTTTCTGAATTGCATGAATCATGATCAAATTCCTGTACTTCCTACTTTGACCTAGAAAGAGAATATCTGCCTAGGTTGATAGAGCACCCTCAATTGAAGATAGTGAATTGACGAATTTAGTCGAGGAGTTAATTCACTGTTCTGTATTGGATTTACTCCAGTAGAGGAGGTTTGGTATGTGAGGGCCTCAGTTTGTCTACTCCGGTGGAGGTTAGTCGCCCACCGGGGATTCAGATTGAGAGGGTCTGGAGACCTTTAGTCGAGACTTCAGACTGTCTAAGAACCTTCCGCAGTCAGTGGCGGAGGGAGAGGGTAATAGTGTGGGTCCCGGGACCCACCCTGGTTCGGGAGGAAAATGGTTAAATTAGGTACGATAAATAATTGATATAAAAAATTAGGTCACATTTAATTGATAATAGTAGTTTTGTGTTTGAATCTAATACGGTATACATATTTGTGCAAACTTCAATTTCGTATAAGTTGATTTTCTTATGAGGGAGCATGCTAGTAAATGGTATCATATATATTATTGAATCTCTTCCAACAACTCGATTTGTTGATACTAAATGTTTATTTTACAAAGAACATTATTCGAAAGCTAAATCATGAATTATTGATTGGTGTAGGATTTATTATTAAACCTCTATCAACAACTCGATTTATTGATACTAACGGTTCTCGACAAAGAACACCATTTGAAACCGTACGAGTGTACGACTAACTAAATCAATAATTATTTGGTACGCAGAATGATATTCTTGATATTTTTTTTTACTACTAATGCATTTTAATTTACCAAACATTTTTAATTTAAGATTATATTAACAAAAACTATTTTATCATGTTTATTTTTTTCTAGGTGGACCTACCTTAGACGAAATTCTGGCTACGCCCCTGTCCGCAGTATAATTATCATTGAATTTGGACTTGGTAATTTACAACTTGGCTTACCTGCAGTTTAGGGGTAACCATATCTGGGTGACCTCTCTCAAACTTGGAACACAACTTTTGCTGCTTTTGTTTGCTAGTTTAGGTGGAACTTCACTACAGTTGAACCGCGAAATAATAAGAATTTCACGGAGTAGTCATCACACCTAGGACCCGAGTTGACATTTAAATCTAAACCCGCTATACTACACATTAATAGGTGGTTACACTTGGCCACTTTCTCGTGTAACAGTACAGACGAGTCAGGAATCGACATAAAAATCCTTAGTTATGGATATTTTCCCATCCTATTTTTGCTAATTACTCAAAATAAAGCCTAGGGGGTAGGGGTGTTCAAATGGTTACCATGGTTATAACCAAACCAAATAAGGCTAAATTCCATTAACCATGGAATACAATATCATAACCAAACCGTCCAAACTAATACAACAACCAAATTAACTAAACTAAAGTTTAATCGATTTGGTTAATTGGTTAACCAGATTAACCAATATAAAATCACATTATCATTGACGATGAAAATTTTCCGGTTAATGCAACAATTCGCAATTTATATAATGAATAAAACATAACAATCAACACGTAGTTATAGTTGACCCTTAATAAAAATACATGCAACTAAGATAATTATCTTACGATTAGTATAGAAGTATTCACCTAACAAAATTTTATGACAATGGTATGAGTTAATGAATTGTTGTGTTTGTGTAAATTGACTTAGTCTCTTAGCAATTATCATAGGCTGGAAATGATCTTCCTTTCAAATTTTCATCCATCATAATGTATGAAATTTATCTAAATTAGGCGTCCATATGTTGTGGTCTAGATTTTACATATACAAATATACACTATATGAGCAATATTGAGCTTTATATTTTATGAGTCTAAAAGGGATGAACGTTAACTCTTGAGTGGTTATTCAAAGTATTAAGTAAGTGATATAATATATGTTAGTTATATGACTAATTACTTAACTGGTTAATTAGGTTTGACTGGTTATGAGTGTCTGAAACCAAACCAAACCACCTGAACCAAACAAGCTAAAAACTTTAACCAAACCAAACCAAACCAATTATCCAAATAGTACCGGTTAAAATGGTTACCATGATAACCAAACCGTTTGAACACCCCTAGTAGGGGTGAAACAACCAAAACCGTCAAATGCTTCTCCGTCTCGTCCTGTCCAAAGTAAACTATTGTTTATGAATTAATTAATTTATTGCACCAATCTGTGGACGCCATGTGGAAGGTTGCATCGGTGGGCTACTGTATGGGTTGCAGCCAAATTCCGCCCTTTAATAATTGACATAAATACATTGTAGGAAAAGGTTTAGGGTTGAAAGTGTCATTTAAGGTTGACCCATATTCGGTTCGACTATGGTTCATGGAGTTTGGACGGAAAACTTAACATAAGGCATGTTTGAGAACATGATTATAGTAGAAGGGCAAATTTGACTTCAACAATAATAAAATGGTAGTTCCCGTCTACATGTTGTTATTTTGATTTCCAGACTGGTTGAACTCTAGGATGTAACTATCTACTTGTTTCTATCAATATAAGATTATCTTTTGCAAAAAAAAAAAAAAAAAAATACAATAACAGAAGGACAATTTATCTTATTAACCCTAACATGAAATAAGGATAATACTGAAGAGGAATTTTACAATGCTATATAGCATTGGTGCTATATGCTTTTGTCTTAATGGTACAACTTGAAATTGTATCTTTAACGTTATGGTACAACTTCAGATTGTACATATACTTTCTGTACAAGTTCTTTTATGGTACAACTTAAATTTGTACCTTATGTGATGGTACAACTTCAAGTTGTAAAGTTGTACCATAACATAATGATACAAATTCTTTTATGGTACAACCTAAACTTATACATTTAATGTTGTGGTACAACTTCAAGTTGTACATTAAAGCACCAATGCTATATAGCATAGTAGAAGTGCTCAATACTGAATTGAATTAAAGAACGTTTTACTCATATTTCCAATTTCACGATTCAAGACCAACTAAAACAACACAACGAGCAATCCCATTGCGAGCATTATATGTAAAACACGATTATCACTTCCTCGATACTTGGCCACAAGATGTTGAGAATAAGAGGAAGAAGAAGAAGGTGAAGGGCAAGAAAGGCCTTTTTTGCCTTCTCTACATTCATTGGCGAAAAGTCCCGGCGGATATCGACCATAGATGTTGATGTAGCTGAACATGATGGATGCGCAATCGTTGGACACCTCGTTCAGCAACTCCGCATAAGGGCACGCAAAGTCCTTGAACGCAGGGCAGCATTCCTCGGGTTGGTACTCTGGTCCTCTGCATCGGCTCGTGATGTCCGTGTAGTTCATGTACTCGAAGTTTGCTGGACAGGCTGCAAAATGTAACCAATCCATCCATTTCAACAATCTCCACACATCCAAATCTCCCAAAACTCCGACTCAATGGAGGGAAGAAGATCCAAAACCTTTTTTGGCTTGGAGAAGATTCCTATTGCCAGCATGAGATACAAAGACACCATCTGGATAAAAAAGCAAACAAAGGACAATCAACAAGAAGAAAACAGAGTATTACACTGTTAAGAGTGAAAAATGAAAAAACAGAGTACCTGAAAGGGAAGTGGAAGCAGAGGAGTGGGAAACCACAAAGAGGCTCATCAAAAACAAGAGGAACCCACGTTTCCAGTACCAGCCCCTCATCCCCTTACAAGCAAATTAATGGAATTCGGTGATCTCGTCAAAAACCAGTTCTTCTCAACGACTGGAAATCGCTATTCTTTCCCTGCTCAACTTTCGTGACTGAGGAAAAGGAAGAAATGGAGCGATTGATCAGGAGCAAAAACTAAGCTACAACACAAGACATGAAACAAAGAGAACGTAAAAAAAGCTCAATTTACTTTGTCTCTTTTCCTTTGTTTCAGTTTTCTTCAATACTACTGTTTAACAGATGAATTCAATGCTGTATTTGCCAGTTTTCCATCAGTTACTACAAATGAGACAGAGAAGAAGGTGAGAGTTGGGCAGTTATATTCCCCAATTTTGGAGGGATACATCACCGTTGGTCAATTATTGGAAGGGTATTATTCACTCATGAAAGACTATTCATCACAAATTTTGGTCAATTTTTGGAAATGCTGTTTTTCACTGATTTTGATTTTTGAAGACATACATCACAAATTTTGACTTATTCCTATTATTCACCGATTTTGAAGTTTATCAATCACGGATTTTGGCCGATACTTTTGTATGGTATAATTCACCGATTTTGAAGGCTACTTGATACGAGCACAGTTGTGCTTGTTTAAGATCAAAGCGCACAACTCAATTCCCCCTCGAAGAAGGCTTGAACTTTGAACAAACTTAAAAAGAAAAATGGACCCAAAGGTGCAATCTTTCATGTGGAAGAAGGCTCGATTTGTTTGGAATGAAGCTCGGCCACGATTGATGGGGTTTCAATCGATACGAAGCAAACTTGTTGCTGATTCTCAACCAGCACACAAGGATTTGGTGACAAAGTCACAATTTTCCATTCAATCTTCTCTGTCTTGTACACGAGGCTTTCAAGCCCTTAAATAAACACGTCAAAACCTAATTCTAACTCTAAACAAACAAGGAAATCGAGATCCAAGGCTAACATAACAAGGAAACATAATTCTACTTTGAAAAGGAAACAAAAACCGCATTCTTCCCACGCAAGCTTCTGCCTTCCTGCGCAAGCAATCATGTCGACCTCCCTAGCATCTTTGAAGCCCTCCTTCATGACCTTCCAAGGATCAACGACCCAAACTGGCTTCAGTCGTTTACTCTCCTGATCCCATAGCTTAAGTTCCAACTCTCCTTTTCCATCGACGATGCCCCAGTTGCATTTATTAAGCCTCCAAAGATGGTATCTCACACCGGTTCCAGACTTAGCCAATAAAACAAACAGTTCCTAGTTTGCCATAGAAACTTGAGGCTTCTTGATCAAGTACCTAGGATCCCTAATTCGTGCATCCAACCATTCGACATTGTAAATAAACCCTTGAACTTCACTTTCACTCCTTCCTTGTGCATTTCCATCGATCAAAACGTAAGATACGAATCGGTAAAGTAAGCACCATGATATAGTTCGTATACTTAGTCAAATTCGACCTTTCTTCCTTCCAACGTTAATGGATCCTTTGGAATTCAATTCGAGCTTCAACAAGAGGCTAAATAGGATCATATCACTATTCATCGTAGATTTTTTCCAATTTTTTTGAATGCTATTATTCACCAATTTTGGAGGGACACATCACTCATTAGGGTCAATTTATGGGAATGCTATTATTCAATGATTTTGAAGGCTATCCATCACAGATTTTGGTCGGATTTTTAGAATGCTATTTTTCACCGATTTTGAAGGCTATCCATCCCAAATTTTGGCCGATTCTTTTGAATGATATTATTCACTGATTTTGAAGGCTTTCCATCAGAGATTTTAGTCGTTTCTTTTGAATATTATTTTCACTGATTTTTAAGGCTACTTGTCACGTATTTTGATCGATTCTTTTGAATGCTATTTCCGCCGATTTGTAAAGCTACCCATCACATAGTTTGACAGATTTATGGGAATGTTGTTTTCACGGATTTTGAAAGCAATCCATCATAGAGTTTTTTGGATTTTTAAATGCTATTATTAACCTATTTTGAAGGCTATTCATCACAAATTTTAGATGATTTTTTTAATTCCATTGTTTACTGATTTTGAAGGCTATCCATAACATATTTTGACGTATTTTTTAAGGCTATTTTTCACTGATTTTTAAGACCATCATTCTCAGATTTTGACCCATTTTTGGAAATGTTATTATTCAAAGATTTTGAAGACTATCCATTTCAGATTTTGTCCGATTTTTCTTAATGCTATTTTCACTAGTTTTTAAATCTATCCATCACTAGTTTTGAAGTCTACCCATCACAAATTTCAACCTATTCTTTGGAATGCTATTATTAATTGATTTTGAAAACTATTCATCACATATTTTAGCCAATCATTTTGACTATTATCACCGATTTTGAAAGCTAACTGTCACAAATTTTGACCAATTTTTGTAATGCTATTAAGACTATCCCCTCTTCTTTTGCCCACATGGTTATTATTATGGGGTGAGATACGGTCACAACCCCCTTTACGCTCTCTCCTGTCTCTTTCTTCTTTTTTTCAAATCGATGGTTAGGATTAAAGGAAGAATATTTTTGGAATGGAAAATATTACCACACCCAATTATTCTCCCTCCCATATAAATAAAGAAAACCCTAACTCCTCCCTAACCCTCTCCTCCCTCTCTCCCTCCTCCAATTCTCCATCAGATGTGACTGCTACCGGACTCCACTTCTGCCGTCGTCCACCACATTTGCCGCTGCCCTCCGCCTCCCTCCACCCACCACAGCCTTTGCCGCCCTCCACAGCCTCTGCCGCAGTTGTCGCCTCTACAATAATCCGCGGCCCTCCACCCTTGTCGTTGCCTCATCTCTTCGTTTTTCAGATCTCTTCTCCGTATGAGTCCCTCTGCCTCTCTGTGCCTCATCTCTTCTCCTCCCCTTCGTCTTTCAGATCTGAGATTTTTGGTTTTTCAGATCTGGTTTTTTCTATTGGTAGTGGTACTATGTGGAGTGGTAGTGTACCACTACTAGGTAATGGTACCAAATGACAGTGGTACTCGACCACTACCAGATGGTAGTTGTACCGGTGTACTGGTAGTGGTACCAGTGGTAGCGATAGCGTACCACTACCACATTGATGGAGCGATAATTTTTTGCAGGTGGCCGGAGCGAGTCTTATTCAAGGATTTCGCCGGAGAAAGTGTGTCGGTCGCAAAGTCAGCCGGTCGGAGTGGTGTGGCTGCTAGAAAGGAAGAGAGAGATATGAAGAGAGAGTAATATTTATTGTCGGATTTATATTTAAAAAAGCATGCATTTAATATGGGGTTTTAATTCCCAATCTGTAATTAATAATAAAAAATTAATTAATATTTTTTTTTATCATACCCAAAATGCCCTTGGTTGTGAATCTCACAACCCCAAAGGGGGTTGTGACCGTATCTCGCCCCTATTATTATTACACTGAATAGAGTTACATAAACTTAATATGTACCCCCTTTTGACCAACCCTTTTTAGAACTTAAGTCTTGGATCTTCAAGCCGTCCAGAGTGGAGGGTTCATTGCAGATCGCTTAGCTAGACGAGCACTTCTACTATACTTTAAGGTATTGGTATTTTAAAGTACAACTTAAAGTTGTACTATAACGTTAAAGATACAATTAAAGTTGTACCATAAGAAAATTTGCACCTTTATATTAATGTACAACATCAAGTTGTATATTATGATATAACTTCAATTTGTACAACGTTAGATACAAATTCTAGTTGTACCATAAGAAAATTTGAACATTTATGTTACTGTTCAACATCAAGTTGTATGTTATGGTACAACTTCAATTTATATCATAACATAGATGTACAACTTTAGTTTGTACCATAAAAGATTTATACAAAATAGTATATGTACAACTTCAGGTTGTACCATAACGTTAAATGTGCAACTCCAAGTTATACCATAAAGACAAAAACTAAACCACCAATGTTTTAAAGCATGGTACAACTTCAATTTACGTGGGTGATAACACGGAGTTTATATATTTTATACCCACATTTTCATGCAATTTATGCTTGTCATTAATATGTTTCTTCATATTCTCTTAATGTTACACTTGATTTTGTGTGTGTTTGTGTTTCGGGATATTTAAAATCATATAAATGAAAACATATCCATATGACTCTAATCATCAAGATCGGATCATCTCGGTACAATTCCAACGCATCCACTTCATTTCCCTACCAAGCAGGCTGGTCAAGCAAGTGAAGAAGGAAATTAATCGGAATGAAAGCAAGCAGGTGGCCATTTGTCTGTGGACATGAATGAAACAAGTTTCTTAAGTGACTCGCTCAAAACTATACCGCGAATTATATTTCCACTAGAACCCAAGTTTTTAAACTCTAGCCGGGTGCAATATAGGGCAAGTATTTAATTGTCAAACCCGGGCCGGTCCATGTACCCCTACTTCAATTGCTTAAGTTGTTATCTAGCAAAACAGTTTGGGTTTAAAACTAAGAAAACTACAAACTAAACAAGCAAGGAAAGTAAATGGAGGAGAATTCTACTCGAGAGGACTTCACCTGGGTATTTCTCCCCCTAGTCTCATGCTAAGAAGCAACAAACAAAGCTCTAGTGTGAAGGATGTGTTCATACACCGCGAGGTGGGTGCAACTAGCTAGGGACAAACTCCCTTAGTCGATCAATGAAGGAAAATCAACAAATATAAGCTAGGAGAACTAGCTCTCTTAACCGTTAGGTTAAGGATTGTGATTCATAGCTTGGGAACCTAGCCCTCTTCACCGATCAACCAAGGAGATCCCTAAATCTCTTAGTTAGCTAATCGAGAATCGTTGCCACAAGTTAGAAAGCTAACTCACTTAACCTTTCGGCTAAGGGTGACAACGATAGGCTAGGAAACCTAACCCTCTCGACTAGCCGACTAAGGATTGTAAACCAAACCCTCGGAACTTAATCTGGTCGGCGGAGAGACCAATATCGGTGGAATCACGGTCCTACTCCAACACTTGAGATTTTGGTCTTAAATGGACCTAAAGGAGGTTACCCAAGTGGCTAAGACGTCTAGCTTCCTATTGGACCAAAAGGGGATTTCCACCCTCTAGGTCAATTTTACCCAATATTGAGTTAAAGCTAGCACACTCAATCATTCATGAATAATACCTCAAATATCATATAAAACACTCAATCAACAGAATAGGTTCATGTTCTTACATCCTAACACATAGAGAGACTAGGATTCACAATACCCAAGTGAGTAGGTAAGCTATTTCATAGCTAGAGAAGAGAAAACAACAAAAAGGGAAGAA